AATTATTTTTGAAAACACCAATTTGACTATTCAGGTTACTCTCAAACTCCTCCACCGCCAGGTGTGTCTCCAACAACTTCGCCAACATCCATCTCACCCACAAGCTCCGTACCTCCAGCACCTTGGTCGTCCAATCGTCCGTATAGTACCGCTCCTGCTCCTAACACACTAACAAGTTCTTCAACACCATATCCGCCCGGTGGTTATCCACCTGCGTCTTATTATGGATATGGAGGATATGGTAGTGCGTATGGAACTGGATATCAACAGAGTACATACGGAACTGTGACAGGTGTGAGTGCTCCTGCGCCGCCACGTTGGGGACCTCCACCACCTCCTAGTCAGCCTCCGCCGCCTCCTCCACCTAGTCAACCTCCACCTCCTCCACCACCGAGTAATCCTCCGCCTCCACCTCCGCCACCGCAATAATCTGAATTTGTCAGGATGAATGACTATCGATTGTACGAACGAGTTTCGGAACTATGCATTAATTGGTGAGCAGTGAAAGGCAACAGAAAAAAAAAGTAATAAATACAGGTCTGAATATTTATCAATGGGTGTATGCTTTGCCTTTCGGTTCAGATATTATAATCACGTGATAGAATATGTTATTGAATTTTTGTGTTCTATTTTATTGTTATGTCTTGGTTATCATGTTTGATGAGTTCACCTTTGTTAAATTGACTGCTTGCTAGCGTAAGAGAATGTGATTGTCTATGTACGTTTCATCTCTGCAAAAAAAAAAAAAAAGATCGGCTTCTTTACGATGCTGTAGCATATTAATTAATAAACACAATCTAGGAATGACTAACCAACATCTTGTGTAAGTTGTGTTTGTCATATAGGATATTTTATGTGCTGTTCAGAGCAGTTGGAGGAGGAAAGTGATTCTAGCTTGAAAATTTCGTTCTTTGCCTTGTTCGGCATAACGTGCTGCACTAATGTGCTTTGTTTTTTCTTTTTTAATATTAAAGTTGCGTATGACCTCAGTCTATACTATGACACGAATACGAGAAGCAGTTTCAGATAAGACGTGCAAACGGCTTTCGATCTTGTGCCTCTTTCCCTGTACGTCGCGTCGCGTATATCAATTGCATTGAAGAGGGAGGTGCTCTTTAGATGATAATTGTCTAGCTTATGTATGTCTACATGATAGTATTTGCTGGAAGAGAAAAAAAAACGAAAGGGGATGTGTGTGTGTGTGTGGTTCACTTAAAGAATTAATCATAAAATTGCTAGTACGAGTTATGATTATAAATTCTAAAGAATAGTTTGGTCTGTTTCTCATATTACCATGCGTCAGGTTCACCAAATGTAGGAGCCGAACAGACGCTGGTAATTGTATGCGTTTTGATATGAGAGTGTTAGGAAGAAAAAGATTACGAACAATCCACGAAAAGCATTTCTTGTCGAAATGCCTGCAGGGTCGTGATGCTCTGTCTATTTAATAAACTGGAGAAACTACCTCTACTGGCAATATAACAATGATTGAGCTCTTATCGGGAGGTTGACGGGGATATTGTTCCTGATAGTAGAAATGTTTCGATAATTTGAATATTTGGTCTTAATCGGCTTAGGAATATTATAATTTTCAGAGTGTGCCATGATAATAATAAAAGGGGCATGACAAAACGTGTCATGGTGGGGTAATATTAAAAACTCTGATCTTATCTTGGTAAAGCAATTTGTTTTTCAATCTTACCGTAAAAGCCTGGATCTCGGTTGCATTTATTGACAATCTTAATAACAGGTAGCGATAAAAAAAAAACTCCCACATTAACTCGATTTGATCTGTGAGGTATTAATTCACTCGAAAGTCGGAAGCGCGACCGAATATGAGCTGCGACTTTTACACTAAAAAATTTTGTTCACAACAATCTGTCTGATTGTATTATTTACGTGATTGTAAGCAACGTCTGAATCCATTTATGTAATGGTTTGATCGCCAGTCCCATGACGATTTTCTGATGAAATATTCTTACTGTTGGAGAAAGGTTATCTGTGGTATCTAGCAAGCTAACCGGCCATAAAGCTTTTATAGGCTGTAATTAATCGTTCGCCAAACAGGATTAGTTTGGTGCGTAATTGTCAGTAACTTTGACTTTTTGCAATTACGTATCAAATTGTGGGAAATCTGCCTCAATATTCACCTAATACTGAAATCGTCAACGCGTCAACTGATAAAAACGCGAATTTTAAAATATCGGTTATTTTAATCAAAGTGTTCTTTTATTTGAAAAAAGGTTCTCAAGCAAACAGTTTTAATTGGTGTACGTCTCTGCATTCGATGCAGCGATAGCTTTGTCTATCTTTAAAAACAAAATGTGTCCAGACATTATATTTATGCATGCGTTCAGTAGACTGTTAAAGACTGGTTACTTGAAAAAATTTTATCCGTAAAGGGAGAAACACCCGCTTTCCTTGTAGTACCTCCCTGACATCTATACAACGTTTCTCTCCTGATCTCGGAATTCTTTCGTTGTTCGTTCACATCGCTTCCATTCTTGGTTGTGTATTCTCACCCTTAAACTACGTAACAGCTGTCTTACATGAGCTTCGAAATCATTACAGCATTATTACATCCATTGCTGGAAATTTAAGTTCTTGGATGTCGTGCGTAGAACATGAGAAGTTGACACAGAATCAAAGAATTCCAAATGTTTCTCTCGTTCCTTTTTCTTTTTTACGATCATTCTCGAGTTAATTACAAATCCAAACATTAGATGCGGTGACAAACGAACGTATGCAAGCTAGAACCTTTTTGAAATCTCTGTAGAGGCACGCATTTAATATGTTTTATTCGATTGCTGCAAAAAATGATGACTCAATCATGAGCGAAAGCATCTGATCAAATTATTTGTCGTTTCCTAAAGGAGTGTAGTTGTTCTTTCAACTTCACATGAAATGAACGGTTGGTTGCCCCAAATATAAGATTCCCGCGTGCCGAGTTGAATTAGTAGTGATGGGCTTTGAATAAGTTCCTACCAGGAAAGATGACCATTTTTTTTTACAATTACGACAAATATAACTCATTTACATATTGGGACAAGAACGTCACAGGGGTAAAATTAGTAAACTACTCCCCCACCAGGCAGGCCGACTCAAATTATAAAGCCGTTCGGGTATTAGTATGGAATAAAATTTGGTCCTCCCTCCCCCCAACCTTCAGACGAGGTCATCCATAACCGTCGAATCAGTCTTTGAGGGAGACAGTTTCACAAGCTAATAATTTTTAATTATCTGTGATAGTCGTATTATGGTGTTTCCGTTGAGTAGTGCAGAGAGGATCGCCTGATGGTTTGTCGGGGAAATTTCATACCCGAGACGTGCTAGTACAGTGTCGAAAGAAGGCTCAGATGATCGCTAACGTGAAATTAACGAGGGTAACACAAATAATATGGTTTTTCAAATATGTCAGCAAGCATAGAATCGATCCGGATTTCAAGCGCGTGTAAAAAGAGGCTTGCATGCTTTGATGTGTTGTCAAGTTGTCATGTTTTTTTTCCCCTCAATACATTGAACATGTTAATATTATGTGTGCGTATATGGATAAGTACAACAAACGCACAAGTCGTTAATAGGGAATTATTATCGAGCTATTGGCTTAGTTCCGATTACAGAATCACAGAAACCTTAAATGAAGAGACATTACTATAATCTATTTCGGGTTACATAATATCTAAAAATGCATACACGTGATTTTACTTTTTTTTTATGTGATACTAGGGGTCCGCATAACAGACGATTTATACTGCATATTGATTTATTAACTACTCCCCAACGCCCCAACTATACATGTTTTACATTGCTACAAGCAAAAGATTGGGCAACTACTATTAATGGTATCAAAAATATATTACTCTTTATTTACAGGTTTGTACATCTTATGGTATTTTCGTGGCAGTATATGGCTAACAAGCGAAAATATAGCACAACGAACAACAAAGAATGTCATTAGATGGCTAACTTAAAATACTGAGAACAATAATACTTTTTAGAGAAATCTCTTACACAATTATTGACTAGAGGAAAACCCGACCGTATATCAACGTACGATTAAAAATGGCAATAATAATGGTGAGAATAATAATAGTAAAAATTGATTGCCAAGTAATCCCCATTGCACATCATCGACGATAGTCATCTGCTAAGCATCTCCACTATAAACTTGCAGCAGCTTTTTATTACGGTAGCCTTCGGCATCTGCACGGCCACTCGTCTTCCAGATGAGAGCATGGCGGGTCGTTCTTGGCAGGTTACAAGCTAGAATGGGAAAGTGACAGACGCAAGAGAATGTGATAATAGATGAAACGAGACCAATCCATTATGAGTGATAATAGGAAACGGGGGACGAAAAGTGTTGTTGGCGAAAGAGAGAGCAATTGTTTGATACAGCCATAATGAATGCTAAAGGCGGCAGGTTGAGATAACGTATTATTTATTGTTTTGTATAAAAATAATATATTATTATTGTGTGTATTAGTATTGTCTCTTTATCTTTCTATCTCTCTCATACTCTCTATACATCACTCTCTATGTGCATGCTATATAATATAATGTACTATATAATATACTATATGATATATCATATAATCTTATGATTTTTCATATAAAGCTTTTTTTTCATATATGATTACATTTATGGCGATCTTGGCTTTTACCTGTTCTAAAAACGGAACTGTTAACCATCCAAATACCTATCCGTAAAATCCTTGTGTGGAACAAATAACTCATATTTGTTATTTTGTTAGTTTGGTATGTATTATTTGTCATTATTCTTTATTCGTTTTCCCAATCACATATTAATATGTGTATAGTACCGTATATTTATTTATATTACACATAGTATATTATGTATACAATATAATTATTGTTGTTTGTCATCTATAGATTAGCCCAGAGATGCCGATGTTGTACTACTTTGATACTGCTGTGTGTAGTGACACTTATCACATCCTTCTGAAAACGGACGAAGGCAAAATAATAGTATATCAAGATTGGACTTTTGTAATTGATCGAAACATATCGGTATATGTACTGATGTATTGTCGCAGGAAAAGATAAGCCCAATGAGAAATATATACACAGTATTAGCATACGTGTTTATATTTTGTCTGTTCCCTACATGCACGTACAGGTTTCATCTACAATGAAGATTAATTGATATTGCAAATAAGAAATTTCGATATCGCTCTGCCCATCTCCTTCCAGGTTCATCAGTGTTTTTGTATGTCATTTGCTGAGAATAGCAAAAAGAAAAAGGAGTTCACATGATCATATTCGATGGGTTCAAGTCACAAGCGAACGAACTGGAAATGGTGTGGATGGAGGGGGGTTTCTAATGTGTGTGTGTGTGTGTGTGTATGTCTATGTGACGTGTGTGTGTCTGTGTGGATTGCGAGAAGTATGCGAGTATGCGAGTGTAGCAATTATGCAAATATGCGAGTATTTATTTCTCTCTTTCCTGGAAACCCGACATCATGATTAAAACAATGGTATAACAATGGTTCATGTGCACAAACGAGTGAATTGGCTGTAATATTTTTACGCCATTGGGTGTTGTATTTTTACGCCTATTTCATGCTATATATATCAATACTTTACGCCTCAACGCATTCGTACTCTTTTTACAATGAGAAATGTCTTGTAACCAATTCAATACATTAATTTATATTGCATTTAAGGCATTCATTCTCACACCCCCCTTTTTTCCTTGTCACTTTCTTTATTCAGCACCAAGCGGAATTACGCGTCCCGAATCAATCAATAAAAAAGCCATTGATTTACTCAGACCCCGCCTGTCATGTATTCTGTCCGATTTATTTTATTGCTTTTTTCATCTCCCCCCAAACCTTGTATGTTTAACTATATTCTTTTTTTCCCCTAATCACGTTTTGTATGCAAATCAGTATTAGACTTGACGTATCAAAAAATGCACAGATTATTTGATAAGCGACCAATGGACTAGGAAATTTTCGTAGATATCACACACATACACAACTCTTCTTTTGTTTATTTTTAAACTGCTGACGTTTGCGGTAATTTGTATCACCCGATGTTCGGGTAACTGCAAAGACAGAAAATTAGTGCATGTGAAACGTTTAAAATATATTATAGTGATAATGTATTGATGTGTATATTATTGTCAATGTCGTAATCGTCTGCCAGGTTAAACCCTATTCACCAATTCCCCCACAGCCTTTTGTTTGACAATATCGTTGTGGCCACCCTCCCCCCAATTCTATACCACTATATAAGAATCAGGCTTTTTTGAAAGTATTTCTCTTACTTTATCGTCAATTACTCAACCATTCGCCCTACTATCCCGTATTATTATATATATTATATTTTTTTATACATTATTTATCCCCTCACTCAACATTTATCGACCTGTACATAACTACAGAATAATAAAACACCTCTTCGAGTGTTTGCTGTACATAATTTAGATCATATACTCCACCTACTATCTGTTGAGTGTACGAAATATGTCTTTGAATAGGGAAAGCATTGTTTATGCTCGCCAACAAGAAGAGCAGTACCCACGGTCTCTACTTCGACGAGCATGGGATACTATTGAGAGTAAGTTGTCAAAACATAAGAGTTGTTCATACAACTAGAAAACGTTTCGGGTTACTACGAACCGGAGAAACAGAAAACAGCTCACTTTCTCCCGTCGGAAATGAAACCCCGAGTGTGGGCAGTATGATCACGTGCACAGTATATATCTCTAAATTTCTTCATTGTTTTCAGACATCCTTGGTTTCATAAGACCGTCGACAAGCACACGAACATCGTCCACCTCACCCATATCAGTTCCTCACCAATCACCCACGCTGGAAGCAGACGCCCAGTCGACCACGTCCTCGTCAATGTCCACATACGCCATGGCCTATAACCATGTCCATAACGTGTTCTATGCAGATGACGCTGCTTCCGACGACGAAGGACGCGCACTTTCGCGGACATCGCAAGACATCATCCGTGTTCCCAGAACAAGGAATTCGCGGAGATATAACACCTGGAAACAGGAAAATGAAGGTCCCGAATGGATGACGGAAACTGGAAGTGAGGAACGACGAGCAAAGGAATTGATTGCCAATTGGGCCATGGGTGAAGTAGGCCCTTGGTTTAACTGAATCTAAAAACAACAAAAAAAGTGTGTGAGGGACAATTCTTTTTTTCTTCTTATAAATATGTGCATGAGTATTTCGTGTGTGTATGAGTGTATATGTGAATACGAATTGTGTATTTAGTTTTTGTATTATGGTAGTTCTCTCTCTCTCAGTTTATATTCGTAAAATCCGTACATATGAGTTTATTCTTTTTCTTTTTTCTTTTCTTTTTTTCTTTTACTTCTTTACCCTTTTGCTTTTTCTTTTTTTCTTTTCTTTTCTTTTTCGTAGTTTCCCTTTTTTTTTCTTTCTTTTCTTTCTTTTCTTCTCCTTTCTTTATTATTCTCTTTTCGGGATTCGCTGGACGCCGTGAGGAGGCAATACACACACCATGTATTATCAAGACATTTAATGTGAAAACGACCAGTTGGTCGGACCTAATACGCACGTTCCGATGCTATCATAGCTGAATGATAGTATCTGATGGTGTGATGATGGTCGTCGCGTAGACTGGTGTTCCTTATTCTTTCTATCTAGCAAGAAAAGGAAGCTTCCGTGTGTATATATAGATATATATTCATTGTAGTTCACTCATTACATACGCTCATTACATTATATAGAACACTTGGAAAGAATAGTTCCTTTTCTTGTGTTTATTATTCCGGTTTTTTTTGGTACTCTTAATATCTTTGAGAGAGTAGTTTAGTATCTAAGTGATATCATTTATAGAAGATGGTCAAACTTGTTGTTCGCATCCGATAAAACCTATCAACTTTTTATTACAAGGTGCTTGCATATTTTTATTATTATTCATTCGCAGTCATTTAGTTACTTACTATCTTCACTATTACAATACGTACAAACTCTACTATATTAACAGCTCCCCCTCCCTTCTCTCGACTCTTTGAAGAGAGGGGTTATGGTTTTTTGGTTTTTTGGTTTTTTGGTTGTTTTTTTTACATTGGTTGACTTTTGAAAAGGGTTATCAATTAGATAATGTCTTTTAGGTTGTTAAGTAGTTTATTAATTCATAATTTTCTTTGTAAATGGATTCTTTCTTCTACTCGATAAGAAATCTTTTGTCTTATCAGCGTCCCCAAGTTAGGGAATAACTAAAAAAAAAATAAAATTTTTTTCTTTACCAAGCACCACATACAAAACTTGTCTTACACAAGTTATCGTTTCAAAAAAATCCCTATCTTTTCTTTTTCCCTCGTAGAAAGTTCTAAATCAAGGAATATGCATTACTGTCATCTCTATCACTCAATCTCTAAAACCTTCCTCCAGTCTAGCGAAACACAACGATGCGTTTGTTCCACCAAACCCAAACGAGTTTGTCAGCGCTGCTCGAATAGTCTTTTGTTGGGGTACATGTGGCACGTAGTTAAGACGGAATTCGGATGATTGGTTGTCGAGATTCAGTGTAGGTGGAACGATATTCTGATATGTAAATGAGAAACGAATGAATTATAATTATTAGCACAACGAATAGAAGTGATTATCAATTAAACATGTGTCAACCGCAAATAGTTCCAAGTATCTTTGTTTGTGTCATCCCCCAAAATACTTAACATTATGCACTGCTAGAACAGTAAACACAGCCTCAACGGCGCCCGCTGCTCCTAATAAATGTCCAATTGCTCCTTTAGTCGAGGAGACAGCCAGTTCTCTTGCATTTCCTTCAA